TGAAAAGAACGAGGAATGGAGTCAGATGAAATGAAGCTTTACTCATATAACAGCTACTTAATCAGCTGCTTGTTTATCGTTACATCGTTTCAAAAGATAAGCAAAATATTCTGTTTTAAATAAGGATTACAAAGACCAAATCTACCAATGAAAGTACACAGAAAAAAAACAACAACTTTGATTTCATGTGATTTTAAAGTTGCAATGGAACAGAATATTGACGTACATGAGCAATGGATAACAACTACATACATTTTGACAGATTATCGAAAAAGACAAAAATGTTGAGTCTGCACTTTGTTTCATTCATCGGCTGTTTACTGGATGGGTTTGAGAGGACTAAATGATGACAATAACATGCATTTACTGTAGAAAACAGATAAGTTGAACTTTTATTTCACGCCAACTTCAGAGCGCAATATATTTGCTTCCTCAATCAAGTTAAGTATGACAGTTTCCAGAAGCTGTCTTTTTCATCACAGAAAGCTTTCCAATGCCCATAGTATCCTTTCACCTCTTGTCTTTCCCTCTCTTTGCTCTGCCTCTCTTGCATTTGACTGTCCTGTGGGATATCAGCAACTTTTGAATACTGCACAGCTCCAGAACAGACGTGTCTTAATAATAATTGCAGCCTAGAAAGTCAAAGCTGTGTAGATATTGCCAGTCAGAAAGCCAGCAAGCATGAAGCCCCAGTTACTCATTTCAATATAATGGATTCACCCAAAATATCTTATATCCCACTTTGGGATATGCTCAGAATGGAAGGGATTTTTTCAGTAATAGAATGTAAACAAGTCAGGATGTTATTCATATCTTTAATCATTACTGAAAAAAAAAATCATAATATTGTTTGTTATCTTTTCCCCATCACAAGTGTGGTTTGGAGTTCACATAGGCCTACATGGTGCTTAAGGTTTTTTGGAGCATTGAATGTTCTCATTTTAGTTTGACTGCTGGTGCCAATTTATTTTGATACAGTTGGTTGATCAGCATTCCACCACTACATTTGCGTTGCACTGCTATCTGGTTATGCAAGATAATGAAGGTCAAAGGAGAGGTGCGGTGCATGTTAAAGAGCTCCAGCTCCATTCAGGAGGTTCTGACCCCACTCACAAACGCCGAGTGTGTTGACCAAAGTCTGCAGTCTGTACTACTACTAGGGATGGGCGATACCTCTTATTTTATTTTCGATCCGATACTGATATTTTCAAGCCCAGTATCATCGATATCGATACCGATACCGATACTTCTAAACTAAACTGATCTTTTAAATTATTGAAAGAATATATAATCAGTAATTATACTCAGTTCCGATGAGCAGGAGAAATGGTTCTATCCAACAGAATTATTCGCTAATATAGTCTATTTTTCCACTTAGAAGCGTATTTTATGCACCGAATTTCTTGATAAGTAAATAAAATCAATGGTTAAAAAAATGCACTTTAGAATTTATATTTTTATGTGAGGATCGATCCTTTCGATACAACATCAGTATCGAAAGTATCGATACTTAAGGATCGATCCGCCCATCCCTAACTACTACAAAGCACACCGGTCTGGTTAGCATCGTGTCAGAACACACGAGAACATTCAAGACGCAAAACATGTCCTGACGCTGCCACGTCAATCACAAAACACAGCCAATCAGAACAGTTGTCTCTGTTTGCACGCGCTTTTCGCAACGCACTGCAGCCGAAAACATACCTTGTATTTTAATAATGTTTCACCAGACGGATTCTAAACTTCCAAGATCAGTGTTTTCTCATCCATGCACGATGATTACAGAGCCGCTGAAAAACAGATTTGCTATATGCTGTGATCTCGCCGCCATATGGTCACGTGGTTCATGGAACTCTCAATCCAAACGTTCCAACTGTGAAGTTTGAATGGGATTAAGTAGGAAAGACAGCAGTTTCACTATATTTACAGCAATACATGGGCTCTGGTGATTAATATACAATAAGGAGCGTCTGTTCAATGAGTTTTCAGTGTGGGCGGGGCTACCCGGCGCAACGCAACATAAATAAAAACCAAGCAGCCGACAAAATGTATCTTCAGGACAAAACAAACAATAAATAATGTATAGTTTTTTGTTTTTTTTTACGATTTCCTTGAGTTTGATGGATTTGTCATAAAATATTAGTTTTTCCTCTTCTTGTCCAATGAGCTTTGTTGTGGGCGGAGTTACCCGGTAATGATAGTTCACGCCTGAAGCAAAAGTTTATAGTTTAAAACGTTTAAAATATTAATATATGTTCTCACACACACCTATATAGTTTCCATTCAGAAGGTATTGATTCAGGTCATGTGGGTTGTAGTTGTTTCGTGTCTGTGGTTTTTGAAGCATCAACTTGTACTATCCACTTAAAGGGGTCATATGATGTTGCTAAAAAGAACATTATTTTGTGTGGACTTACAGAGACTATTTCTTTTTTCTAAAAATCTTTGTTTTTGTTCATCTGAAGAAGAAAGTCATATACACCTGGGTGGCAGTAAATGATAAAAAAATTAAAATGTTTGGGTAGAGTACCCTTTTAACTAGTTCTTAATGTTGTGGCCACCCAGACTTTGGGTAGAAATATAATTGGTGTAAATTGTGTACATGCCTTTTAATGAATGATTCACATGCAGCACAAAGATTGTTAACACAGTTAGACTGACTGTTCGTTTGTATCATGATATCCATGATTCCCCTGACTTCATTAATGGCTCAATCCAGATTTGATATCTAAAAAAAGAAAGAAGGCCTGAAGACATATCAGAGTGATCCTAGTGATGTATAACCCATTTCTCAGGGCCCATTTCCTTGTCCCATCTGTCTACAGAGGGCATACAGTACACATACAGTATCTACATTGCTACACTAAGAGCTTACAGGAATCCTTAGTCAACATGAAATGCCATTCAAAACCCAGTTTGCTTCCATAATTGGACATGTTTTCAAGTAAAAGAGGATATTCAGTATAGGACAGGGCTTGATTGTATCCACTGGACCGTGAAAAGCAGAGTTAAAGTATATTTGAAACAACATGCACCGATGAATCAAGCATTAAGAATGTAAACATTGAAATATGCAAATCAATGAGAAAATGAAATTGCACAAAAATAAACTCATTATAAAGATATCTTGCGACTGCACACTACACTAGCTCCAATTCACTAAAGGAGCGGTGGCTCGGGGTGTCAAAGATGTGGAAACATTTCAGCAGAATCACAGACCCAGCTGGGCTAGGCTGGATTTCTCTCTTTCTTTCTTCTCCCTCCTCTGCTACAGACCAAAACCTCATCTATCCCCAAAGCCCCCAAGACACAGGTCCCCGCACCAGACAGGCTATCTGTCAAAACAAGTTAGACGTCACATCACAGCTTGCCATAAATGCCGTAATCGTGGAGAAAAAGCCACTATAAGTGTGCTTATTCAGGGTAAAACTCTGAACTATGGCCTCAATCGCAGACAGCGTGATGTAAAACTATTTGCATTGTAACCGATTACATCTATCATTGCATTTTAACCTTTAACCCTGCTGTGACTGATTCTGTTCCCAAGCTAAATTGCTCAAAAACAGAAAATATTGCTAACACGTTACAATAAGGTTCCATTTGTTAACTACGTCCGTTAACACAAATTAACAATGAAAATCTAACATTAGGCCTACCTAATTGGACCTTATTGTAAAAGTGCTACCAAAATGTCTCAAAATAAACATAATAAAGGCTTCTTTGTTATCAGTATGGACCTCTCTTTCACTGCTGTGCCCTCACACAGACAATTACCTCAGAACATGTGTCAGTCTGTCCTCTGCTCCTCATGGGGTTTCCTCTATCACCATTTCCCTTCATGCATTTCTTATGTCAGTGCTTTCTGCAGAGCCAATCAATATGCTAAAAAAAATAGGCCAAAACAATCTACACACTATGATTCATTTTGGATTGTAGCTATCAAGGTTTTGGTGATACAAGAAGACTCAAAAGAATAGTTTTGGCAAAGGCAACTGTACCTGTAGTTGTGTTTTTCCATCAGTTATATCTTATACCTTGTCGTGAAGCAAACTGCCCTCATTAGGGCGGGATAAGTGGCTGGTCGGATATCCTATATCCTGATAGGAAACTCAATATTTCACAGCTGAGCAGTTAAGTGTGCTTCTGAAGAACCCTACATTGGTGAACATCAGCTAAACAGAGTATTATCTATTGTCTATTATGATATGTCAGATTTAAGGGGGGGGGGGG